ATTGTAAAGATGTATCTTGTCATGAAAAGTAAGTACTTATTTATTTTCAGATTTTTTGGCGACGCCGGTGAGCGGCGTCGTCTTTTATGGAACGCTTTTTAGCTCGACTATACGAAGTATATGGAGAGCTGTCCTACTCGCCCCGGCGTCGGCGTCGGCGTCCGCGTCCGCGTCCAGATTTTAGATTAAAGTTTTGGTGCAGTAAAATATTTTTCACTATAACTTTGTCATTTCTTAAGGTATCAACTTCAAACTTCAAATATATGTTCCTTATCATCAACCACATCATATGTGACAAGGTTCATAAACTCTAGCACCAATATTTTCAGATTTATCTCCCTTGAACTTAGAATTTTCCTTAAAAAATACTTATTTTTTACTGTTACTTTCCCTATTTCGTAAGGGATCAAACTCATACTTCAAATATAATGTACCTTATCATCATCCCCATCTTATGTGACAAGGTTCATAACTCTAGCACCAATAGTTTTCAGATTAATCTCCCCTTGAACTTAGAATTTTCCTCAAAAAGTACTATTTCTTACTCTTTCTTCTTATATTCTTAAGGGGTCAACCTCATACTTCTAATGTACTTACATTGTCATCATCCCCATCTTATGTTACAAGGTTCATAACTCTAGCAGACCAATATTTTCAGATTTATCTCCCTTTGAACTTAGAATTTTCCATAAAATTTTTTTTTTTTTTTCTGTTATTTATTTATTTCTAAAGGGATCAACTTCATACTTCAAATATGTTTACGTTATCATCATCCACATCTTATGTGACAAGGTTCATAACTCTAGCACCAATATTGCAAGAATTATCTCCCCATAAACTTAGATTTTTTTTACTAGAAAAATGTTATTTCTTATTATAACTTTTTTATTTTTAAAAGGTATCTACCTCAAATTTCAAATACTTATTATACATTTTATGTGTGACATTGTTCATTAACTCTTGATGCAATATTTACAGATTTATCTCTCTTTGAACTTAGGATTTTCTTTAAGAAATATAATAACTTCTTTTCTTTTTAAGGTATCTACTTCAAACTTCAAATATAATATTTTTTATCATTACACAATGTTGTGTGACAAGGTCCATAACTCTAGCATGACTATTTCTAGAATTATGCCCCTTGATCTTGGAATTTATGTTAACAAATATTATTTTTTTACTATAACTTAATACATAATTATACATAATTGATTTTTCTTTCATAGTTTTGTCCTCCTTACTGCGTCCAGTATTTCATTAGTCGAGCTTCGCTGTCTCCTGTGACAGCTCTTGTTATTTTTGCCTATGGAAGGAGCTGTTATTATTAGCAGTTAATTTCATGTTGTGTTAGTTAGTTTTATTTTGATTCGTAAAAATCAAGTAAACAAATATGTTGTTATATTTGTATTTAATAACTTTATATAAAAGCATGTGCATTGTGATATTATTTTCACGAAATTGCAGGCTCTGATTAACAGCTTGTCCCTTTGTTTTATTGACAATTCTAAAACCCGGATTTCGAATATCGTTGTGGTCTACATTGATGTTCATTGATTTATATATTTTCAAAACTTTCCTACAAGAAGAAAGTTCACCTGCAAATGAGTATTAGGATAGGTAATGGACTGTTGTAAACGATTATCCTATTGATTTTATCCATATTACGTTTATCTGTTTAACAGAACAGTTGTTTTTACAAAGTGTACCAGTATCCGGATGTTGACAGCTATCCGATTTTCTGCAATTACTGCTGTCACATGGCCATCTACTTTTTTATGAATACTTTACCATTATTTGCATGGCATAATTAAAATGAGACTGCAACATTTCTTAATTTTGATGTCTAGGGTGTTCTTTTGGGTTTCATGTTTTCTTTATTTCAAGGGGAAGTAACTCATGTTTACTTAATTATTTGTTCTTTTCTGTCTATCTTAGGTATTACTTACAATTTTTGTTTTATAAAATTTACCAGTTGTAAGGTCATCAAAAGCATAGAGGCCCTGATGAGTGAATATTGATATATATATATACTTTTACTGGCTTTATATACCCAATATTTCATATTTATTTAATAGAAACTTGGAATTATTAATGTTATGTGCATACATTTATATCTTAGTATATTGGTATGATGAGACTTATAATATTTCTGAATTTAATGAGTTGCAGTTATGTCATTATTATTAAAGGGATGAGACTTTCATTTAAAGTTATAAATGATAATACATGTATTGATTGAAAATGTCCTGAAACTTGGATCAAGCAATATAATTATACCCCCGCACAACAAAGTTGTAAGGGGGGTATACTGGAATCAGCTTGTCCGTCCGTCCGGCTGTCCGTCCGGCCGTCCGTCCGTCCGGCCGTCGGTTTTTTCTTGTCCGCCCAATAACTTAAGATTCCTTTGACCCTTAGTCTTCATATTTGGCATGGAGGTTAGTCATGATTAGTAGATGACCCCTATTGATTTTGAGGTCACTAGGTCAAAGGTCAAGGTCACAGGGGCCTTGACTTCAAAAAGCTTGTCCGCCCAATAACTTAAGATTCCTTTGACCTACAGTCTTCATATTTGGCATGGAGGTTAGTCATGATAAGTAGATGACCCCTATTGATTTTGAGGTCACCAGGTCAAAGGTCAAGGTCACAGGGGCCTTGACTTCAAAAAGCTTGTCCGCCCAATAACTTAAGATTCCTTTGACCTACAGTCTTCATATTTGGCATGGAGGTTAGTCATGATTAGTAGATGACCCCTATTGATTTTGAGGTCACCAGGTCAAAGTTCAAGGTCACAGGGGCCTTGACTTCAAAAAGCTTGTCCGCCCAATAACTTAAGATTCCTTTGACCCACAGTCTTCATATTTTGGCATGGAGATTAATCATGATTAGTAGATGATCCCTATTGATTTTGAGGTCACCAGGTCAAAGGTCAAGGTCACAGGGGCCTTGACTTCAAAAAAGCTTGTCCGCCCAATAACTTAAGATTCCTTTGACCCACAGTCTTCATATTTGGCATGGAGGCTAGTCTTGATAAGTAGATGACCCCTATTGATTTTGAGGTCACCAGGTCAAAGGTCAAGGTCACAGGGGCTTTGACTTCAAAAAGCTTGTCCGCCCAATAATTTAAGATTCCTTTGACCCACAGTCTTCATATTTGGAATGGAGGTTAGTCATGATTAGTAGATGACCCCTATTGATTTTGAGGTCACCAGGTCAAAGGTCAAGGTCACAGGGACTTTGACTTCAAAAAGTTTATCTGCCCAATAACTTTAGATTCCTTTGACCCACAGTCTTCATATTTGGCATGGATGTTGATCATGATTAGTAGATGACCCCTTTTGATTTTGAGGTCACTGGATCAAAGGTCAAGGTCATAGGGACTTTGACTTCAAAAAGTTTGTCCACCCATTAACTTAAGATTCCTTTGACCCACAGTCTTCATATTTGGCATGGATGTTCATCATGACTATAAGGTGACCCCTATTGATTTTGAGGTCACTGGGTCAAAGGTCAAGGTCACAGGGACCTTGACAAAAAAGGAGAAGCTTTTCTTCTCAATTGCTAAAGAATGTCCTGTCCGCAATGTATTGATTTTGACATTTTCACATTTGAAGCATGTACAATACATAACTTAGCAATGCACTGGCTTAGTAACCTCAGATTTGGCAGGGAGGTTGTCCTTGAGCTCTAAATGGCCACTGTTTATTCTGACAAAGTGGTATGCGGGGGTATTCACGCCATGATAGTGGCAGTTCTAGTTGATAAAGCCTCAAAAAATCATGTTCTGAATAGTTATTCTAATTTTTTTCTAACATGTGCATAGTTTGAAAAGGACAGCTTCTGCCTTATCTATTTGTAATGTAGGGACACCAGTCTCAACCTCCAGGTCTCCTGAGTCAACCCAACAACAGACTTTTCATAGAGTAGATTGTTACTTGCCCTTGAATAAATTTGTGCACTAAAATTTATAGTGGATGATTTGTGCCACATGAAAACCAACAAAGTACAAAAAGTAATCGGGCGCCAGATGAAAACATGAAAATACAATCTACCACAAAGTGGTTCGTTTGTTGCATTTTCATGTTTTCGCTCGGTGCCCTTGATGTAAAATACAAATCAGCCTTCATAAAATTTCTTATCATAGATATTGTACATGTATTAGTACAGTTATATTCACTTTCAAATTGACCTGTTATAAATAATGGCACAACCAATAACTGTCTTAGCCCTTTTTAGTAAAAATAATTATACAATAATAATTATATAAATTGTTATTTTAATTAAGACTATGAGTATGTTTTTTTTTTCTTATTTATTAATTAAGAATTAATTATCTGTTAATTTAAAAATCTAAATATCTGTCACGGTTTAGAACTGTTCACTATTTAGGGGAGAAAATGTGTAAGCGGCCAGATAGCTCAATCGCTACAGCCGCGGTACATTATTCTGTGGGTTACAGGTTTGAGTTCTGGTCAAGCTGAAAGTTTTTCTCATCCTGTTACTGCAAATAACCATTAGTTTAATTTACTATGCTCTGTAAACATCAGAAATTCAAGTACATTAATCAATATAGTGGGGAAAAAGGTTTAGGTTTAGAACTGTTTCATTATGAAAGAGAAAATGTGTAGCCGGCCAGATAGCTCAGTTGGTCTTCTGAAAGTCATGGGTTCGAGTCATGGTCAGGCAGTTTCAGTCAGGGTTTATAAGTGGTTTTTCAACTGACACATGTTTGATTCATTTAATAGATTGCATTTAATTTGAAATGGACAAAGGCAGTATTGCGTGATACTTTTAAATCTACAAAAAGCATTTGGTACAGTTGATCACACTATACTGCACATGAAGAAGTTCTTTTTCTTCTTCTTCATGGAACTTCAAGCATCTGCCATATGTAATGACATTCTTGCATGGTTCAAGTCTTATCTCTGATAGCAGCTGGTGAATGTGGCTGGTTACAAACTCCTTCTCTCTGAATACCTATGGTGTCCCCCTGATGTTCATTTTATGTCCTCTTTTATGTCTAATATATGT